GGCACTAGCACACATATGTGATGCTACGCTACCGGTCTCTTCTCTTGCACTTGCACACATACGTGATGCTACGCTACTGACCTCGTCTCTTGCACTTGCACACATACCTGATGCTACGCTACCGACCTCGTCTCTTGCACTTGCACACATACCTGATGCTACGCTACCGACCTCGTCTCTTGCACTTGCACACATACCTGATGCTACGCTACCGACCTTCTCTCTTGCACTTGCACACATACCTGATGCTACGCTACAGATGGGTTGGGGTGGGGTGGGGTGGGGTTGGCTAATAACGTTCAATGGCACTAGCACACATATGTGATGCTACGCTACCGGTCTCTTCTCTTGCACTTTCACACATACGTGATGCTACGCTACCGACATCGCCTCTTGCACTTGCACACATACCTGATGCTACGCTACCGACCTCGTCTCTTGCACTTGCACACATACCTGATGCTACGCTACCGACCTCGTCTCTTGCACTTGCACACGCCGAGACTCTTCGAGCGAACATGCAGTGAAAGTGCTGCGCCAGAAAAAAACCGAAAAGTCCGATTTTTTTGTTCTCTCCCTGTGGCGAAACGCAAATCCATCAAAAAACAAGGCATCCTGAAACAGCCTCTTTCTACTCCTGGCGTTCACAAAAGCGTGCAAATACAAGTGAAAAATGATGAAAAAATAAAACACAATGGAATTAGCCACATTTTCTGACCAAACATGATGATGATTGCTTCAAAAGTCCTGCAAATACCAAGAGATAAACATGAAGGTCATCATAAAGACTCTTAAGAAAATGCCAAAACACACGCGCGGTAAACCAGGCGCCGGGATGTTTTTGTACATTCTTTGTCTCGTAGATTGCTGGTTCAGTGGTTCATCAAACATTATTTGGCGACCGACACCGTTCGCATATCCAAATCACTGCTAGGTGTTTTGGCTTTCATGAGCTCTGCTCTCCCCAATCTAAAGTGGTTCCCCAAACACTTGGCTCCAAAAAAATGCTTGTAACAATCTTGCTACATATCTAGCAATGTGATGCCTGGTGTTTTCTTTCATGGGCCTCCCTGGCGACTTCTGAGATTTCCCATATGGGTGCTCGGCACAGGACAACCTTCGCAATCATCCCACGCACTTTGCAGAGGCTACTTCAGCACTGATGAACCCAGAGCCCAGATGAACCCAGCTAATGCCCAGTTTTTTTTTGGAGAATTTTTCGTGAAAACACTGGGATACACTGGGTCCCTTCATGGTTCGATTGTATTTGGGGGGTGCTCACGGGGATCTTATATCATCTGATATCTACATTCACTTAGATCTAGACCAAAACTCCAATTGTGAGCAGAAGGGCCCAGATTTTTCTGGGATCGTTGCAGATGATGATCAATTTAGGCACCCCAATGAAAGAAATACGTAAAATATCACAGTTTGAAATAGTGGCAAGTTCTACATGCCATGGTTTTCCATGATTTTTCAATGGGCAGTCACAGGAATTCTCACTGACGCGGCACCTAGGCGGCAGTACGGTGGAAGCGACTTCTGTTGGATATCACCAAGGGAGAACATCAGGCAGCGACGTGGCGGATGGATGTAGACCGTGGCCACGGGACCCGTAGGAAGTGGTGAGTTATAAGTTGTGAGCCTATGAGCCTGTTACATGCGGTTGAATATATATATATATACACAGATTACAGTATATAATATAATATCATAGGAATATATTATTATCAATTGTATATTTTTTGGTTATATATATATATATACTATCATTTGTTATGCATCTAAAATGTGTGTAATTGGGCTGATCATTCTGAGGCAATTTTATGTTCAACCACATTCGGTGATGATCCGCAACATGTGTGCAGTAAGGATCCTGTTTGATTTTCATCAGTTACCCCTGCTCTTCGCTGGTGGAATTAGGTGCAGATATGGCAGGAGCCTCTTTTACGTCACACATAATCACCTTGGAAAGACTTGACCTGGCGATAGAAGGAACCAACAAAGATGCAGTAAACCAAGGGCTGAACGCGCAAAAAATGCAGCAGTGGAATGTGGTTTTATGCCAACTCTTGCTATATCATTTGAGCGTTCTTTCTGGTCTTGCGACAGGTCTGATGACTGCTGCTCAACTGCACCGGCACATGCGAGACCTGACTTTTCCTATCGTGAATAAAGATGACCAAAGATCATTCAGCAAGCCCTGGCCACTCTTCGATAGTTCACAATCTTGGCAAAATCAGAGGTGCGACCTGTATCGCAAGAGTGGTCCCTCACCAAAGAACAATCAAGATCCAGGGCCTTAAACTCCCCACAATCTGAATGGTCATGAAGAGGCGACTTGCTATTCTTTCAGGATCTGGCCTTGCCTCACGGACAAGCATGATGTGGGGTTGTTTGCAAACAGGCTACCCCAATGGACTGTCATCATGTTTCCCCACTGAAATTGTCGTTTTAGGGCTTGTGATATGCACCGTTTTCTGACACACCCAATTCATATTGTTGGCATATATTCATATATATTCCATTAATCACCATGACATGTTTCTTTAAACCACCATAATATAAATTGTAATAAAATGGTGTCAACGGCCGTTTTACAAGACGTGGTGTTCCCATACAGATGTCCTTTTCCGTTCCTGCTGCTTGATTGATTATATAGTCAATTGATATCGATTAATCTTCCGTTTACTATAGTTATATACTTGATGATAAATGTATAATGGCACGCCATATGTCCCTCGTCACGATCCGTTTATCATCAAATACATATTGGATCATATTGGCATTGTATATAAACGTTGATATCTGGTATTATCTGGTACACCAGATTGGCTTTGCAACATTCTTTCAGGGACAAACTGCAGGGCCCGGTTTGGTTTTCGCAGGTTGTCACCGCTTGAAGCTGCAGTTGCAGAAGCACCGGGTCCCGGTGAAGCGCTTTGCCCTGTTGTGGCAGCCCTGGGAGAGCCATGGCGCACGATGGTTGCGTGGGGGCGTTTGATATTAGGGGGATGGAATTATTGAAGGGGTAATGGATGTCCGAGTCAATAGCTGGTTAAACAATTGATAGATTTTGACCCATCCCCCTTTTTGGGTATGTCTTGATAGACGGAAAGATCGAATATTCTAATATGGTAGATTGCCAGATTGCCAAATCTGTCACATTGTCGCAGTTGAGATAGCTTGTACCATCACATATGCAGCAGATCATTTCTTGGACCCAATGGACGTGAATTTGCTGTGGCAGTTTTCATTTTGGTAGTTGAGTGGAACTTGGCCAAAGATACTGATTCTCTCCAACTGCGCTTCATGGATGGTGAGCTGTTTCGCATGCTTTCTTCAACTGTTGGTGACTGTTGGTGACTGTTGGTGACTGGGGATGTTTGCTAAGGATCGTAGACCGCTACATTGTGCCACTAGACCGCAGCACCTGGCCGAATCCTCATTTGGATGACCCCTCTGGACAGGTATCGGACTGGTATCCCATGGTATCCCAAAAACAGTTTCCAGAAACTGCCTATTTTCTGGCTGATGCTTTGTAGATGATGATTTACAGTACCAAAAATGGCAGTTTCCTTAAATGAGATGACCGTATCGGGATGTATCGGGTATCCGTGCCGCTGATCCGCGAATCGCGGAGGCGACCCAATACCTGGAATGGCTCCAAGATCTATGGCGAAAAATCCAAGCTGGCAGCTGTGGGCTAAGCCGTTTTGATCCCAATCATAATTGTGGTTTTAGTGTGGTTACATGTGGATGCGCATATGGAAAGTGAGGGGATACTCATGTACACATAACTGGCCTCATTCTGCCTATAACTTGATCAAACGCATGGTTCCGAAAGAGTTGGGTTTGTCTGAAAGTAGGTTTCTCCCATGTTCTCCCAAATTTGATGGTCTAAAACCATCCTACAACTTCATTCCCAGATTTTCCCTATGACATTGGCATAACATGGGCCAGTTTTGGTGCCATTGCCATCCCATGAGACAGGTGCAGCATTCCAGGTGGACGCGTATGGACGCCAGCTACGTTGAATAACCATAGGGTATCTCATGGTATCTCTACTGTAAGCATCATATATGGATATATATACTGTATATATATATATGGATAGGAACTATGATTATTCCATATTATTCCCATTATTAGTTTATTCCCATTCGTTACTAGTGACTAGTGATTATGAATGACATAATGATTATATCATATTTTATCATATAAATATATATCTTTCTGGAATGGGAAGGAACATGAATATATGGATGGAATTGAGACAACTCTATATTCATACTATTGACCCATCCCCAATGGGAATATGACTGGTATAGACAACTTCACCAATTAAAAATGGATGGGATGGTGCTGACTTTTGGGCATGGTGTTGGCTGATGGCTGGTAAGGGCCACCCCTATTTTTTTCTTGGAGCAATGATTACCCATGGCCTCATGATGTCATTTATGATTCTGATCATTGTATATCATTGGTAATCATTGGTTCATGAAGAAGGTAACTACTAAATACCATGATCATGGTGTGTTCATGATTTGTTTATTTTTGTTGAACGTGTGATATTATCTGGTTACGATGCCAGATTGGTGAAAGAGTCGGCGGGCTTCTTTCCTTGCAAGTGCCCGCGTCTTTGGCTCAGCTTGGGAACTTCGGCACCTCTAAAGCTTGGGCTCAAGTTGTTTCCTCAATGATTAGACCTAGGATGCCTCATTTGCAAAAACCTTTTGATGAGGCAATTGATGAGACTGGGATTTTGTTCCTCATTGCCCGGGTCGCTTAGAATTCCTATCCATGATTGATTCGTTGAACTTGTTGATGACATGAAGAAACAACTAATTTATGTTGCAACAGAATCAACATAATCAACAGTATATAGCACTTGTTGGTCGCATATCAACTGTTTTTGTTGATGGCATCCCACTGTTGCATTACCTTCTTGTTCTGCCCTCAATCTTGTAATTTCAATCCCCAACATCAGCTCACCATATCTCCCATGTTCCAAGCATGGCGCATGACGTGCAAGAACTCGCGGAAGAGGCGCAGCATGGCCGGGTGAAGGAGGATCCTGGAGGAACATATGGGGATGGGTCAACACAAACTATGATTTCCAATCATTTCCAATCTGAACGAGGTGGGGGGGGTTGAATGTCCATTTACCGGCTGTTTTTCTGTGAGCACCAGGGTGCCATTCGCCAGTCATCCAGCCTCGCTGGAGATTATAGCCAGATCAATGGCTGGGACGGGAAAACCATCTGGCTGATGGATTCAAGACGTTTCAAATCTTTGTTGATTTCCATCCCCATCTGTGCTGTCAATGTGTATATAACATATAAACAAGTACAAGTCAATCTTGAATGTTATCATCATCCATTCCCGTTCAGAAATGCCAAAAAATCTTGTCCTCATGGAGGTTGTTGAAGCCCAAAAAAAACAGCTCACTGGCAACAAAACACCTTGGCGTCCTGGCTCCCAATTTGAAGAAAATGTGGGAATCCCCATGGAATCACCATCCAACTGACCTTGGAAGCTCCCAAGTCAGTCAAAATCTGGCTGGTTTCAAATATCTTAGGATTTTCACATTTTGGAAGCATTTTTGGGATACCTTTGGGATGATGGCACCAAATCACGGTAAATTTTGGGGAGTGGCGAAATCGCAACGTCCCAGGACCTCGAGCTCGAGTCGGTCACCGTGTGTGGCCGCCGTTTTGGGATCCACCGGCGGCGCAGCAATGGCATCCCTGCAGCGGATGCCACGGGGCTGGTGCTCTGGGAGTGCCTTCGGCTGGGCAAAATTCGCGTGGAAAAGGGATCTTGGATCATCTTGGATCTACATTGCACTTATTATCACTTATTCACTGGCTGGTTGTTGTAGTTCTATCCTGTTTGGATCGGTTTGGATGTACATCGGATTGTGAAATGTGTATATATTTGTTTGATCAGAACCAACTGGGGTTTACATCCAATTAGCCCATGGAGTCTGCATGTCTCTGCACTTCGCATACTGTTCCAGTCCATTTATAAACAATCAACCGAAGCAATCTCATCCTTCAAACCGTTCAAGATCTTTCAAGTACATTGATATTCTATGATATTCTTAGCTTTGAACTTTGAATAGTTTAATTTCCACACATATTTTTCTGCAACGAGAATCCTCATGTCTTCTGGTGAGATCTCAGGTGCGCCTTGCTGCTGGCGGAGTACCTGGGCTACGGCCTCTGGCGCGACACGAGCGACGCTCGGTCGACGACGAGTCTGACGTGGTGGCAGCTGCATCCACCTGCGCCGGTGGTGCCAGCCAGGTCCGGCACTGGTCACTGACAATGCTTTTTTTTTTGGGTACTGTGGTCATCATATCATTCATATCAGATCTCAAGTCACGTCACAACTTTGACAAGTTATCATTATACCATATGGATTTGTCTGAAAATAGGGTATATTCCCAATGAAATAGCCATTTAAAAACGGGATAATGATCAGCAAAACCATTGGGTTTAGGGGTTTAGCCTATTTTCAGACACAACCATATTAGCCCAGCTTTGCAACCCAACAGTGAAAGGCGCAAGGTTCAGGACTCCGTTTTTTCGGGGCGTGCATGGCTACGTGTTGCCAGTCCCCGGCCCCAGAGATTGAAACCCAACAGATTCGCTGTTGGGGATTAATCCATGTTATATACTGTACATCTCAGTCTCACTTTGTTCCCAGGTTGATTTCATTTTCGGTGGTTATGATCATGGGTTGGATGATGAAACCCACAATAATTCACATGATCATGACCACATGCTTGTTGGAAATTATGATGCACAGAAAGGATCAGAAAGGACTGTCTCGAAACTAGTAGCACTTATATAGTCTTCTTCTGCATGTACACCCAATTTCGGCAGTTCAACCATATTTTCCACCACATTTGCTAGATAAACATTCTGGGGTTGGGTAGTTAATGGTAGTTACCTTCGTTTTTGGGTTGCTTCAGTCCAGCATATGGTTCGTTCATTTTGCATTAATGTCGCTTCAATGCCTCTGTTTCTCGATACAGATGCCAGCCTTAGATCACTTAAACCCTAATTTTTGAATTTTAGACGTTTCGTAATGATAGGAGCCCCATGTAATCCCCAAAGCAATTCGGACATTGTCTACCATTCAATACCATTCAGACATGGTCTCGTAATTAAAATTAAGATCCCATGATATCCCATTAGTCTTAATCCATCATGTTTGGCACCTTAATCTTTCTTAGTGGCAATGATTAAGATTAATGGGGTATCATGGTAAGATTGCCATGGTGTAACATGTAATCATTCTTGTGGTTGGTGGATTGGAACATGAATTTTACTTTTCCATATGTTGGGAATAATTATCCCAACTGACTTTCACTCCATCATTTTTCAGAGGGGTAGGTTGAAACCATTTGAAACCACCAGCCAGATAATAATTAACCATTATTAACCACCATTAACCACCATTAACCACCATTAATGGTCATTAACCACCATTAACCACCATTAATGGTCATTAACCACCATTAACCACTTGAGGTTCTGGCGCTCACAGCCCGCGGTATTGGAGCTCGGTGGGGGCTGTGGATTGGTGACCCTGGCGCTCAGGTCACTGGGAGCCAGGGTGGTGCCCCGGCGTTGAAGTGACTTTTTCCCCTACTGCCACTGAGATATTTCATGATATTTCGGGAAAACATAATGAACATGGTGTTTTTTTTACTGAAAATAATAACATGATGGAGAGATAGTGATGGTTTTAAAATTGGTTTCCAACAGTAAGTGAACTGGCCCCTGCCAAGTATACATGAGGTACCCATAGCTGTCCATGACAGGGTGCAATCGCTCGTTCAACTTGGACATAATATCATCACCTCATTCAAGACAATGTGTATGTATATATATATATATATGACACGGTACAGTCATTTGGGAGTCAAGTATGTTAAGGGACCCATCACTCGATAGACACTTTCCCCAAAATCTTCGAAATGACCAGCCTTTTGTGGCTCCAAACAGGTGCCCCATGAGCCCATCGCTGAAGTTCTTATTTCAGGTATGGTTTGATCAATGTTAGATACCCTTTTTTGGGATATTGAGGGATGGATAAACCCATGTACATAAGGGAAAAAAGCATGGCGAACATTGGAAAACACCATGTTTTCAGCGGGATAGTTTCCTCTCTTGAGACTGGGCCCAACCCAGGTCTACACCGACGGCGATGCTGCTGCGCTGCGCTTAGCGCAGCGGAACCTTCGCGCAGAGACGTCGGAGACGCAACATCGGTGCCACTTTCGACGGTTGAGATTTGGGGACCAAGCGGCTGCCAAGAGACTTGGCAGGAGGATAATCATCTTTTAATGGGATTGAACGGCAATATAATATATAATTGAATATGTATATATATATTATAATAATATAATGCAATATTTATACTATTATATAATGTAATTGATAATTATATGTATATAAATAAATAAATAAATATATATATATATAAATATAAATATATATATATAAATACGTATAATAAACCTATAAATAAATGAATGCATAGATAGAGAAATTAATAAAGAAAATAAATAAATAAATAAGTAAATAAATAAATAAATATAAATATATATATATATATATTTGCTCAGGATATAACGGGATAAACCCCCCTCCAATCACACATGGCTTGACTTTTCCAACATTTTAACCTCCATGGCTAGGCCACAGGGATTTCCCAGCTAACCACGTTTGATGACTGGAGGGCATTAATACAATGACCGCTACCGAGGGTCACGCTTCAACAACTGACAAGATTCCGAAGATGCGGACCCCAAGCCTTGCGTTGCTTAATCTTGAAAAAGTAAGGACTTGGATTGTCCATGATTTTTCCCAAGGTGATTGTTTTCCAACTAGTGAATCCATTTCCCCAAAAAAAAGCTGCCCCCTTGAACCATACTTTGGGATGCTCCATGGCCCAGGGAACCCCCATTATATCATTATATTCGATTCTACCTCATTGTTGATACCGAGGATGATGCATCCCATTTCTTTCTCATCGTCTCCGATTTCAATGCAAAATTTCTATCCCACATTATCCCCACATAATAGGACAACCCTGTATATCCATACAATGCATATATATATATATACATATAATATGTGGATAAATCATGCTGATCTCGCTGTGACGTCTGTGGAGTCATTGTTGGGATTCGCGGAATCCTCCCCAATTCATACGATTCAGCCATATATATATATATACATATTGCATATATACATATATTTATATTTATATATCATATTCAATATTCTTGAACTTGAGAATCATATATCAGATTCCTATATATTCATATGTCTTCTATTTGGTGTGTATATATATATATATATTATATATATATATAGTAAATATATATATATATATACACCAAATGGCATACCTCTATGAAGAATCGATCTTGGGAACGTTTCCAGGACGCTGCTGACGGAGCTGGGTCCTTTTGGCCACGTGGTGGGCAGCGACCTCGTCTACGGCGCTGAGAAATCCAGGCGCTGCGCGCTGCTCGATACGTTGCAGGCGCTGGCTGAAGCGCAGGAAATGCTGGAGGCGGGGGCTAGGGCCATGCTGCGGCCATGGTTGGCCCCAAGGAAGCAAAACCATTGAGAGATGATTTATGATGATTTATGATGGTTTACCAATGATAAAACATGATTGCCTGGACATAGCCCCGGTGGTAATTTTTCACATTGGCGGATGATAAACTGATAATTAAACATGATATTTTTTAGCTATTAACAATGGTGATTTTCCATAGCTACGTGAAATAACCAGAATGTCTTAGAATGGGGGATGCCCAAGTCACCATGGGTTTCAATGCTAAGTCATGGTCTACTGACTTGGATGATTTGGGGTGCGACCGTTTTAGGAAACGTCCAAATGTAGGTGAAGTTTGATATGCCATAGTCAAAAGTTGGATATAGGATGGTCATCAATCCCTGAATAGGGATTTAGACAAATCCATTACGTTTGGATTCCCATTCTGAGATGGATGACAAAAACTGTAAATATATGTAAATATTGCTTTGAGGGAGAGAAACATCCATAAATCGCAGCTGTTTCGATGTGAACTAAGGCGGTGCAGGGGTTTGACCCATCCCCATATAAGCAACAAGCATCAGCAATGCTATACTTTAGTTAGGGTCTATCGGTCATTTATCAATACACAAAGACCACAAAAACTCAGAATTGTCCATAGAAGTGTTTCAGTCGAATTGTCCTGACAAAACTATAACAATCCAAAAGCAAATGGACAAGTATCATATAGTTATAGGTTATATTTCCATAAATTGGAGGTGGTGAAAAACATTGGAGTAACATGGTGTAACCAAGGAACCGCCTATGGCAGTCAGGTCAAGGGCTCCAGAACTGCGGCTCCCTTCTTGGTGACACTGGCCATCAAAAACCGATGCTGCGACGAGGTGCCGTTTTTCTACGGGCATCCAAGGCTTTTAACCCAGAAAAACTGGGGGTTTAACATGGTTTCACGCAACAGAAGTGGGATTTTTACACCAACAACAAGGGAATGCAATGGGACTACGGGTGCATTGCGAATCGTTTGCAAACACAATCGGGCGGCCTAACATGGGCCGACCTCACCGTTGGGATTGGGGGAATCAAACGTGGCTGGAACATCAGCAATAGCAATAGATTGATTTTCCCGGCGAAAACCTTCATTAATATCCATTCATAAGGGATAAAATCCGATGATTTTCCCATTATTTGTCAGAGTTTCACAACCCATAAAGTAACCATGGATAACAGCAGTGATTGCAGATGATTACGCAGTACACTAGCTCGTACCCTCTTGTAACTAAAACTGGCTTGATGGAAAATTAAAATCCGCTGGATGACTTCCAAGCTATAAACTTCCATTTGGTGCATTGAACTTCCTAAGAAAATCACCAGAAAATCCCCAAATCTCCATCAGATCACTATCTGGTTGGTGGTTTGGAACATGACTCAACATGACTTTTATTTTCCCTTCTATTGGGAATGTCATCATACCAACTGACGAACTCATATTTTTCAGAGGGGTAGGTCTACCACCAACCAGCTATAAAATCATCATCGAATCAGCATCAAATCAGCATCGGCCATCCCAGCAGGTTGAACTTCTCGTCAAAGAAGCACTGGAACGAGAGATTTGGACACTGCGCTGCGCTGAAAGCCGCAGCCTTCCGGAAAGCCACTGGGCGGTAAAAATGACAGCAAGGAAGAGACCAATTCTGTGATTTTTCGATTTTATATATATATATTATTATTATTATTATACATAATATAGTGTATATATATATATATGTATAGTCGATGGCATATAATTAATTACTATCAATGAATGGTGAAATATTGGTAGAATCTTACCATCAATATGTTTGGTACTTGATGGTACTTGTACCTATTCGAACATGTACAATTTTGTGGTGTTCGACTGGTTGGGTGCTTGTGAAAGGGTGAGCCGACAAATGTGATGACATGATCATCCCAGTATGTATGCTGGATAAAGGTGTAGTTCAGGGGGCAGTCGGCTAGATTTTGCTGTGAAGTTATTTGATTGGGTTGATGGCAATCGTTGTCAATAAACCATAGCATAGCTCCTTCTCACGACTTCACCATCAACTCATTGATATCCAGAGTCTTGCGGAAAACATCAGAGATTTCCCCATATTTGGTTTGGGGGGTGTTTTTGACTGTTTTTGGTCAACATATATCAACATGAATCACCCAGATCCGCCCTCCGCCCATCCCTTGAGGCTTTCAACAAGAGGCGGAGGCCTTCTATGGACCGCCTGGCCGGCCGTCCTACTGCGTGGTGCACTTGCGCTTTCAAAGGTGAACTGCTTGGGTGAACTGCTTGGGGGATGGCCATCACTCCATGAATATATCGTATATGTTTATATAATGTGTATATATATATATATAATGTGTATGTAGTATATAGTACATCTTTATGTTTAGAAAAAGCCGTTACGTTTGGATTCCCATGATGGGATGGATGACCATATCACATGTCCCGTCTTTTGACCATGGCAGCTGGAGGTTAATCCAAGGTTGCAACCAGGAGAGACATGGTGTTGAATTGATTTCAGTTAATCCTCTCTCCCTAATACTAAACTCCGGCCCCCCCAACTAATAAACACCTCAGGTAGTTTTCATTATTAGGAGGTATTTATTATTAGGGTTCCCCCAAATACTAAATTTAAACCCCTAATATTCAAAACTATTTTGTTCTATTTCAAAATCGATTAGATTTCCTTTTAAAATCTCATTAAAAAATGGATTTCGAAGCTTCCCCTAATAGTAAATTAAAAACCCTAATATAAAAAGCTATTTTGTTCTATTTCTAAATCGAGTAGATTTCCTTTTAAAATCTACTTAAAATATTGCCAAAAATTGGATTTCGAAGCTTCCCCCTAATAGTAAATTTAGAACCTTAATATAAAAGCTATTTTGTTCTATTTCAAAATCGATTAGATTTCCTTTTAAAATCTAATTATAAAATATTCCCAAAAATTGGATTTCGAAGCTTCCCCCTAGTAGTAAATTTAAGACCCTAATATAAAAAACCGTTTTGTTCTATTTCAAAATCGATTAGATTTCCTTTAAAATCTAATAAACATATTGACAAAAATTGGATTTCGAAGCTTCCTCCTAATATTACATATTAAAAAAACCCTATAAAATACATCTTTTTTGCGACCTTAAAAGACGGACCCTAATGAAAAACACACCGGGGTTGACTGGTTCTTATTATTAGGGGTGAAACCCTGAAACGGTAGCTTCATTTTTAAATGGTTTTCTAAAGGGGATCAATTAAACATTGGCCAACCTCAAATTTTCCAAAATTGGAGACGGACCCTAGTTTTTATTATTTGGGGGGGTTTTGTAATAGGGGGAAGGGATTGTACAATCACATTCCATATGACAAAAACATTTTGAAATGCCAGATTTTTTCTTGCAAAAATGAATGCCAAAAATCATCCCAAACATGGATAGCCTTCGACCTCCGCTGATGTTTCACAGGTTGGAGCCTCCAAGCAAGAAGAGGCGGACATGACGGTGGCGGCACATCCTCATGGTCAGGTGACAAAAAAAATCCGAGGCTCCCTGGATTGCTGCAGAGGAATCAGCAATTTCCAGCACCCTGTGACAGTTTCAAAGAAAGGGCCGATTGCACCTGATGTTCCTGATGTTGGCAGCCAGTTCCAAGTCACGTCCAAGTATCCACCCCTACAAAATGTGCATTGGGGGGTGTGCACCCCCTCAAAATATACATGTCTCAGTCTCGGAAACACGTTCCCTGGGGAATTCATTTTATACCAAATGACTGTTTGGGTCAAGGGGGTGGTACGCCTTCATAGTGTCCCCCCATGTCCTGCCTATTGCTTATACATTGTAGGGGCAAAACCCCCTATGCTTATACATTTTCGGAGGGGTGCTGTAAATATTCCCCCAGGGTGTGTCGGTGTAATGACCCCCCTGTCTTATATGTTTATAGCTGCTAGATGCTGCTAGCATCATCTCTTCGAAATCAACTACTGTGCCAGAAGATTAGAATCAATGATGGGTGATAGATGGTGATAGTTTGATTGCGGCTATCACGAATGTCCCTTTTGAGAACATGCTACAGTAGAAGAAAAGTATGAAGATAGGGGGCACGCCCTGACCATATGACCTGATACCTACTAGTCGTTCCATAAAAATGAATTTATGGTAACCAGAATGTACTATCTTATCATAGTGTAATAGTGTATCTTTCGATATTCAGAAGCAAATTCGAAGACAGCATGTTGCTCTTCTGACGTGCCCCCCCTGGTACGTCATGCATTTTCCCCTAGTTTGCATACATTCAAGCCCTTAAAAGAGTAATAGACACTGTCCCACCCCAGGTTTGATACATTATCAGAAATGTATGGGGAGTAAAGTAGTTAGGGAGGGTGATGTCTAAGTGTCATTTAAAGATCATTCAAAGGTCATTTAAAGGTCATTCAAAGGTGTTTGTGGCCGCAGCTGATGGCTCTGAACACAAGACCTACCAAAGAAGCGACAAGCTGCAAGCCAGGATACCTTCCATATTTCTTCCGTTACAGTGGAAGGCATGCAACAAATTCAACAGATATCAACAGATTACATAGATTCGTGATTCATATCTAAAGTGTTTATTTCATGTATGTTGATGGCTAGGTTGGGCACTTCTCATGTTCATCTGGGGTATGGCTTGCAATCTAAGTCTGGAGGTGCGGATTCCAGTTTCATAGTTCGCAGCCCAGCCCTGAACCAACCTTTGGTGGATGTAAACTATCCCTATAAACCCCCCTTTTTTTTGGGGGTTGTACATCTAAAAACCATCCCCGGTAGTCTGGTAGTTCTTCAGCCGGCATGGCTGGTCCGGCTGGGATGATCTCAAGATATGGCTAAAATATGGTAAGATTGAAGCAGTACTCACCATGGTCTTTTTGCTAAATCGATAAATCCATATAAATCCAGTAAGTATGATATGGCTGTATGGGAGAAATCCAATAGATACCCTGGATCTTGTTGCTTCTCCATGCCCTTTCGCCTGCGCCATGTGTGTCTAGCACTTCCTCTGCCGCTGGTGACGTCTGGGTGGTTGGAATGTCAGGCGGAGTTCGGAGAGGCCCCCGGAAAGGGGCGAAAGGTCCAGATTTGAAGCAACATGTTTTTTTTTACCGGTAGAAGGGAATGAACACATATCAAATCACAGTATATATAAATGTACATAAATGTGGTAAGCCCATTTGTCAACCACCCCCCAATTTACCATCAATGGCTGACATATGGTTATCCGAGTGCATCTTTATTCTTTGGTTTACCGCATTAAACAAGAGGGGGCTTGCACGCCAAACATGGAGTTGACAGATACAAAATCAGCGACCAAATAGCGACAGAACAAGAACAACAGGTAGAGATTCGGACAACAAAACACCGGATGATACGGCCAACAATCATGTTGGACGAAATCAGCAATAGGGATATGATTGACCGCTTTAAGATCTGTGGCATAACCCAACAACCAGCCATGTTTTCATTTTCTTTGGTCTTGGTTCATAAGGGGATGTATACCTATATCAACTATAACAAGTTGAGTTTTTGTTTGCCGAGTGTGGGCGATTCGCTCTGATCCTATCTCGATGATTGTTTGAATCGACATGAAATCACTCAAATCGCTACTTTGTTAAGACATCATCAAAGACCATCAACCACCATTTCTCGTTGTTTCCATGCCTTTCTTGTTGAACTTCCCATTCTTCACTTCCATGGGCCGCAGCGCCCCAAACCCCAAACCAGGGCCGCGCAGTTGCGCCACAGCCACCTCCAGAGCGGCCTGGGGAGCGCGGCCTGCCACGGCTGGGGGCCCGCATCTTAGATTTGAGGCGTGGGGCCGCTTGGTTAAAAATTGGGCCTTGGGGAGTCTTGGGGGTTTCCATAGTCATGGGGAATCCCCAATAGCTGGATGGGTTATAAGGGAAAAACCGAACATAACATGGATGATTTGGGGGTACCCCTACTTTAGGAAGCCTCCTATTGGGGTGTGGTATATAATGCAAGACCATGCAAGACCATGCAAGACCCAGGTTTGTGATCTTGACCATATAGCCCAAAGTATCCTAAAGTTCCTAAAGCCAGGGCTAGCAGATTTCAGACTGGACCATGCTCAGCAAGTTGCCAGGCACACCTTCGAGTTCCTGTCCACTGGCGCCAGTCTGGTAAGGCTTGAAGCAGATTGGTGGAGGGAGCACTGAGCGACTGACCAACTCACCTCACCAGAAAATTTTAGTTGAGATAATCATCCCAAATAGAGTTGAACAGGAAAACATGTTTGAAACCAGCAACTAGCAAATGAAATTCTGCCGCACTGAAAATCTGACAATGGAACATTGCGGATTTGTGGCTGGTTCTCCTGCAATGTTTGATTAACTATATATATATATATATATTGTGTGTGTGTCACAGATTCATGGCCATCTCAAGCGTGCACGATAGATACGAACAATTACAAAGATCTCTGGGTCAAGTGGTTTGGCATCTTGATCTGAACCACCAAGCAATTTTCGGGTGCATTTTTATATGATGTTAAGGGGAAACCGCTAGGATTGAAACCATGGGACATGGGCGTCCCTAACTTCACATTGAGCCACCGGAGTTGCTGGCTGGTCAGGCTCCAACTGGAGGATTTCCAGTGGCTGAAAGGCACATTTTTGGTGGAGAAGAGGGCCCCGGAAGAGGGTGATTTGAAAGAGGGTCGACGACATGGAACCACCAAACAATCAATTTTCCATAGTAAATTTGCCATAACTACATATTATAGATAGATAGATAAATAAATAGATAGATAGATAGATAGATAGATGGTAAATCATCCATTCTTGGCCATACCCATATCGCATTTGCCATGGACCTGCCGACTTTCTCCAAGTTGTAGCAGTTGTCACCAATTGCAGCGTGCAGATTGGCTCGCACATATCACCGGATTTCTCTGCACAGGTGTTCTTATATTCAATGGTGTCCCAGAAATTCCGCACTATAAATCACCAGATAATGGTTGCTTCAGCTATTAAACTTTAGATTTATTCGATCTTGGATTTGCATCCCACTTCCCTGAGTGGGGAATGACTACCATGAAATATGTTGATGCACAGTAGTACTCCATGTATTACACTTTTTCACCTCTTACTTCCGTGTGCATGGCTCAAGAAATAGTGCGTTGCAGACTAGCTGTGTTTTGTGGTAACTAGTGGTTGTTACCCTGTTTCTACAGGTTATCAGCCGTATCGCCAAAGGTGATCGCTGGTTTCCTTGTTTCGCACTTTTCGTTCTTTCTCCTCTAGGTTTTCGCCATGTCAAATCCCCCTGCGTTGCCTGCCCCGGGCGGGAACGCCACGGCTGCTTTAGCACTGGCGAACACATCACAACCGGAGGAAATGGTGATCCACTCAGGTGCGGCTACGACAACAGAAGGTGATATGAGTTACTTGGATGAAGAGTTTGACCCATGCCGTCAAGATCCACGCAGGAACATGCCAGGTGTCTTAGACTCAAGCGTTGAATTCAGTCAACTCAATACCATCAACTTTAACACTGTTGATCAGCGTACCGCCAATGTGGCAGTGGTACAACAGGGTATTGATCCGAATCTGGCGAATCAACTTATGGCTGCTCATCAGCAGGCATTGCAGAGTGAGGCAAACGTGCGCCACTCTGAGGTCATGGAGCGTCAACGTATGGAGCTTGTGAGTGAAGCTCGAGATCAACTTGCAAGCGTCGAACAACAAGCAGCCGAAGAAATTTCCAGGAGAAACCTTTTGTTGAACGAGCAGGCCGCCCAGGCGATGAGTGAGCATAAATCTGCTCAACTGCAGGTCACAGCGCAGGATCATCGCATCAGGGAACTGAGTGCCGAATTGACTCACGTGGTCAACAATGCAGGTGTTTTGACATCGTCTGCGGAGAAGTCCAATGCTGATCTGCAGGCAGCACGTTCAGAACTTGCCGAGTACCGCACTCAGATTGATGCAATGAATCAACACGCTTTGAACATGCATAAGCTGGCCGAATCTCAGAAGAAGGACTTCGAGGCGGAGATTGAGAAGCTTCGGAAGGAGCAGAGAGAGCTCATCCGGAATTTAAAGTCTCAACCTCTGGAGGGAACTCCTGGACTTATGATTCACTATGGCTCAGGGAAACCCATTCCACAATCCTCGAAGCCCAAGGGTCCAACCATTGTAGAGTTAGCTTTGGGAAGCAAGAAGCCTCAGCATTCATCAGATGCTGACGACGAGCATTTTCAGGCAGAACCTTTGAAGCCACCGGGATTACCCGGCGGTGGACCTCCAGGAGATGACGATGGTGATGATGAATCTGACGACAAGAGAGGTCGCAGAGACAAGAAAGACAAGAAGAAGGACCGCAAGACTAGTCGTGGCCGCTCGCGACGACGACGTCGAAGAGATCCTTCATCCTCACCTTCATCATCAACATCCCCTACGTCATCAAGTTCGGATTCTGAGAGTTCCTTTACCCGAAAGGTCAAAAAGGCCTTGGAGCGTTCTAGGACTAGTGATACTAAGGCCAAAGAGTCTGATAGGATCCTTGTACCTAAGTTCCCTCAACCCGAAAATTATAGGAATTGGAGAATCCG